AGTTAAAAATTTTACTGTGTCTGAGATAAAGATCTCCACTCTGATGCTCAATTAATTCCTAAACTATATGAATAAATTGTTTGGTGTAATAGATCATTCCTACTTGATATTGTGCAATGAAGCTAGAAAATAAGTATTTTAATCTCATCTGACTTCTATGGAAAGTTGAGTCATGATAATGCACTCAGCGTGTAAAGATGCTCTGGTGGCTGCAGAGGCAGCCAGCTGCCACCCTCCTTTCTGAGGTCTGTCTCATTTGCTAGGATTGTTGACATTTTACTTTAAACCTCAACTGCATGCTTCAGATTTAGATGTACTTAATTATGTTTCACATGCACATAGACACATGTAAAATTACATGCACTCATATACATAGACACAGGCAGATTCACACACACTGTGTCTAACCTCTTGCTACTCAAAGCACACTTTTAGACTTAGAGGAAATAAAAAGTAGCTACTTTTTACAAAAAGGATGGGGACAGTGAATTTATATTCTTTTTTGATTGTGCAGTTAGATACAGATAAATATAGTCTTCTTCCCCCATGTCTGCTCTCATATTAGAGTGAGGTTGCCAAGGTGATGGTACGGCACAGTGGATTTGTTTTTATGTGGCTCAGTGAGTTCATGCTGAAAGCTTAAATCAATACTGGCAACTTCTCACCCTGAGATCATCCTCTGTCTATTATCTTTGTTGTCATTCTCTGGCCACCTATTCCTGCTCTGGATGCTTTAGAAGGCTCAGGAAGGTTTCTGTGCTCACTTTGGCGGTCTTACACGAGAGGGTGGTTGTGCAGAGAAAGCATTACTCAAGTAAGAGCTGCCAGACATGTTGACGCACAGATCTAAGCTCTCAAACTTTCCTTTCAGGATGGCATGGATTCTTTTTAAGAAGCCCCAGGAAGGATTTGCTAGGTTCATCAGTGTCTGATGATTCCATAGGGTTTTAGGAGACACAATTAAACATAAATTATTACAGATCTCCCAAAGGTCAGGCTTATGTCAGGGTTTCACATGGTTCTTTCTCAAGGAAATGTAATGGCATTTTAAGTCGTTGAGCCAACATTAATTTCAAAAGCTTTGATTAGGGTTCAAATCCTATCATACCATAGAATATCTTATACTATAGAATGTGCTAAGAGGTCAATGTCTTAGCTGCCTTTATGTAAAGGCAATGATTATGCAAAAATTCTGGCTGGTCATTCATTTTTCTCAGTGATCAATTGTCTATTGAGTATTTGTCAAGCCCTATGCTAGGAAATGAGATATGTCTAGCTAATTTAAATTAGCTTCAACTTAATATGGTTTCTGTCCTCAGGTACCATAGAGTTCAGTTATGGAAGACAGTCTCTGCTGTGAGAGCCTATAACAAGGGACTTGAAGAGGAGCTCAGGGAGGACTTTCTGGAACAAGAGCAGAATTGAGATAAAAAAGCAGAACAGGAATTCACCAGGCAAAATGAGATGAGAAGGGGTACAAGGCTGAGAAGACACATGTGCAAAGAACTCTGGGGAAGGAGGTAGTGAGAGCATGACAAGTACATGACTGAGAGAAAGTGAGAGGGCTGAGGAGGGTGGTAAAGAGGAATGGATGAGTGGGAACAAGTCCAGGGGAGAATATTTTCAGATAAGACCAGGTAGGCAGGGACTGGGTTTCTGTTAAAGTACTTTGTTAATTGAAAGCTATAGAAAGCTCCTAAGAAGTGTTTCTATAGAGGAGATAGCAGATAGATAGGCAGACCAGTTGGATGGTTCTTGCATTCTAGCATTTGAGAGCTTTGCTCTAATGTGGAAGTAGTGCATGTCAAAAGACATTTAGGAGCAAAAATCGAAGGAATCTGGAGTTGGATAGGATACAAAGAGTGAGGAAGAAGGTGGGGTCAACACTAGCTTTGTGACTCACACAAATGACTATGTGGTGGCACCCTTAACAGAAACAAGCAGAAATGGAAGACAGCAAGCATGATGGTGGAAGACCATGGACTGGATTTTAGACAAGTTGAGTTTGAGGCCCCTTTGAGATAGCAGGAAGCTACTTAGGAAGTCATCAGTGTACAGATCTGGATCTTAGTGGTAAATCTGGGTTGGTGATGTAATTTGGAAGCCTCTGCACAAAGATAATCATTGCAGCCATGAGTGTAGATGAGATCACCTAGGAAGGCTGTGTGTGAATAAGTGAAATGACAATGGTGATAATTTTTGCTTTTTATATAGGAAGAGATAGCTACTGATCCATTTATGTCTAAATTGTTGAAGTGATTTGAACAGATTTAAAGTCTTTTCCAGCAATCATTCACATTTATTTACTTGCAATAGATGTCCAAAAATGTCAAGTTTATCAACAACCTAGCAAAAATAAGATTGTAGGAGAGAATAGCCTTATTTGAAAGGAAGTGGGAATCAAAGCTAAACCCTTCTTTATTTGACTGACTTAAGCTACCACATAAATCAAACAAATCTAACTTAAAACATTCTACTGCCTTGAATTGGTTTAAAAGTTAAAATAATATTTTTGAAAAAACTGTTAGGAAATTTGTCAGATCTTATGGAGAAAAAGCTTCTTAAAGATGCCTGCACTATAATCAAACAGAACTCTCTGGGTTGTCTCATTTCCCTGTAAAGAACAAAATTCACTTTTTTGCATTTTTTCACATTCATTAGTAGTGAATTCAAATACCAGTTGCTTATCCTACTGAGTATTAGATTGAAGTCCAATAGAAAGCTGCAGCCTTCAGGGCTTCCCTGAATGAGGCTAGAATTGGGGGGATTGATTCTTGGGGAGCATTGCTCTGTGATTAGTAGGTTCTCAGTGGGTGCATTCTAGAAAAGAAGATATGTTTTAAGAATTTCTAATTATAAACTGCTGCTTGGGAAGTATTGAAATGTAAAAACCAACATCTATCCATGACTTTAATTCATGTGGAGTTCAAGTTATAATTTCTATTGACTAAAAAATATAATTATATGATTTGCCCTTAACATGATAGCTGCTAAAATATTGGTTGAACTGATGCGTTTTATTGTACCCCTTAGCTTGCCTATGGTTCTGATTTTATTTGGCCGAGCACATCAGGTGACCTCCCAATGACAGAACACTGTCTCAGTTGTAGTACTAGTGACCCTGCACCTATGTAGACTGTGGAGGATGCACTTTGATTGGGCATGCCAGGAAGGCTCAAGCCAGTTCAACATGTTTGCGTTAAACTCAATTTTTTTTAGGGTTAAAATTTTAATAAGAAAGACATTGCTCAACGGAAGTACTTCAAAGTAGGAAAGAGGAAAAGTACATGTCTAGTTGGCTCCTATGCTAGAATATTCATGTTCCAGTGGGAAGGGTGAGGATGTAAGGAAAGGGTGAAGGAGAGGGAATATTGTGGAAATACTATGTATCACGTATGAAAATGGAAAAATGAGACCTGTTGAACCTGTTCAAGGAATGGGGGAGGGGGATAAAGGAGGGGGTGAATTCAATAATGATATGTTGTAAGAACTTCTGTAAATGTCACAATGTGCCCCCAGCACACAATAATAATAATAAATAGAAAAAAAAAATCTTTGAGGCTTCAATAAGTTGGCTAACTTAACATAGAGTTAACTGGTGACCACTTTTACTGTGGCCTTTGGTGTTTCTAAGATTGGAATGTGCTGCTTCCCTTTAGTTAAAAAGTCCACACCCTCAGCTGGGTACCAGTGGCTCATGCCCATAATCCTAGCTACTCAGGAGGCAGAGATCAGGAGGATCACATTTAGAAGCCAGCCAAGGTAAGCAGTTCCCAATACCCTATCTCGATTTACCCAACACAAAGGACTGGCAGGGTGTCTCAGAGCTAGGGCTGCCTAGCAAGTGTGAGGTCCTGAGTTCAAACCCCAGTACCCCCCTTCTCACCACACACACACAAAGAACTCCACACCCTCAGCAGAGGGAGCTGGACAAGCTGCAAAGCAGCAGCCAGGAGAGTTCAGAGCTGTAGGCTTTGCTGCATTTCCTATTGATTAGCTATGTGGCCTTGAACATTTAATTCTCCCTGTGGTGGACCTGTTTTCATGTCTGAGAAAGGCTCACCTCCTCAGATTGTTAGATGAGGTTTCAGTAGGTCATTTATGTGCCCTGCATGCAAACCCAGTCTGTATGTGGCTACTCTGTCCCCAGCGAGACAGTCTGTTGCTACACTAGGTGTGACTGTGTATGTGTCAGTGAGTGTGTACATGTTGTGTATGCATTTCAAAATAACAAGGGCAAAGTTGTTTTATGAAAAGAGAAAGGCATCATGGTGTCACAGTCATGGCTTCTATAATGAACCAGGCCCTTGGTAGGAATGCATGGGGTCACCAACCAGGATGACAACTCTTAAGACAGCAGGAGGGTGCAGCTTGGACTTTAGGATCCAATCTGAGACAGTTTGATATGGCTGTTTCTTTCCAAATACATCTTATTTATTCTACTGTAATTATTATGGGTTTTTCATGGGTGTCTGAGGCACTCCACCTACCATCACGATTTAAAAGAAAGACGCCTAGGAATGAAGTAACATTCTTTTCCTTTAAACATGTTTTATTTTCTTCTTTCAAAAATACTTATAATTGTGATTAGGTGGATATATTTTATGCACTTATTTGTGTGCCCTTACTTCAAGACAGATAGCTTCCCTTCAATAAAATCACGTGTGTCCTATGTCCTCCTAAATGGACATAACTAATGTCCTCTTCCCAGGTCAGCATGAGTATTGGCTTGTTTCTCTGCATGGAGACTTTGGGTCTGGGTGTTTTCTGCAGGCAAGTCACAGCCCACTGTTGCATGGCACTTGTGGTTTCACTGAGAGATGAAGAAGCTGTGTTCAGAAGTCAGGGCAGGTGTGCACTGGAATTTTCTGAGAAGAGGGCATGGCTTCCCTATGGGTCCTCCCGTTCATTAGCTGGGTTTGCTTTGAGCAGCCTTCCCAGCCCTTTGCCACTTTCCTTTGGATGTGGGCCTTCCACATTGTCACAGGGTTTCTGAGGGAATGCCAACCTCTCTGTCTGCAGTTGCACTGCTTCAAGAGAATCTTTTCAGAGATGGAAGTTTTGGGAAAACCTCGTGGATCAACTGCAGAAAGGGACTGAGTGGCATCTTTCTGAAGGGATTAGATCAAGCCATAGTCCTGCTCTGGTGCTATGAAGAATTCACTTCAAATGTACTCACATGGTGCCTCATGTTGTCTCAGTCAATGATGGATCACATACATTATGGTGACTCCATAAGGTAAAAACGGAGCCGAAACAATTCCCCTACCCAGTGATGTCATGGCCATTGAAATGTCACAGTCCATCCAGTTACTCACTCGTGTGGTTGTGTGGTGGTGGTGCTAGTGTGAAGAAACCCACTGCAGTGGTTCATGTAAAAGACAGCAATACAGCTATGTAAAGTACTTGATAATTGATAAAGACTATGAATGACTGCTATTTTATGTATTTGCTATATTATTGCTTTTATAGTTATTTTAGAGTATACTTTCTCCATTTATAAAAGTTTACTGCTAACAGCTGCCATGATAGGCTAACAGGAGCACCACCCATCTTGTGTTCACTGTGTCTCTTGATTTCATCCTGAGGCTCAGTGGAGTGATTGGCCTAGAACAGCTAGGTGTGTGTATTAATCACGTTACGTCAAACATACCATCTTTGCCGCCTCCAGATAGGACAAGTCTCTTTATTCTGAAGTGCAAATAGTATGTGGTTACTTGAAACCTGTTTTGTAATGGTTACAATCTTTTTTTTGGTGGGGGTTTATACTGGGGTTTGAACTCAGGGCCTCACACTTGCTAGGCAGATGCTCTACCCCTTGAGATACTCTGCCAGTCCATAATGGTTACAATCTTAATCATTACTTTAACTTCACTTGAGATGTTGTAATGAGTGGAGTAGTAACTTCACCACCTGGGTAGCATTTTCTTCTCAGGACATTCTGGGCAAAGGGGCAGCTTCACCACCCCTCTGGATGCGCTGTAGGTACCCTCTAGAACACTAGGTTTTAGACTCAGGAATGTGAAGAGCAGAGTTGACTTAAAATATTTGAGTTCTCAATTTTTGTATCTGCTGTATTGTAGTTGGGGCCAGCAAAATTCCCGGTTTCAGGTGAAGCTATTGCTAATTCCTCACACACCTTATTTTACTCACCAACTTGATTTTGTGCCTTCCAGGTACCTTCACTCAAACCAACTGGAAACACTGCAGCCAGAGACCTTTGGGGACCTTCTGAAATTGGAACGACTGTGAGTGTTGACCCTTCCATGTCCTTTGCTTCTGTTTTGCATGTCCTGTTTGTACAACACATCGGATTGCCCCACGGGTCAGGACATTGTGCTTCAAGCTTAAGAAGAAGTCTGTACCTTTGTATTATAAAACAGTTACCATAAGACATTCTATCATTTGGAATCAATGGAGAAAAGATGAATGACCCAATTAAAAATTGGGCAAAAGAGATGAAAAGGCCCATCACAAACAAGGTTAAACTGCTTGGAAAGCTTATGGCAGAATCTCTACATTAGACATACATCTCCTTTATGATCTCGAACCTGCAGGTTCCCGTTCCACTCATACACTGCTGTGGTTCGAATGTGTGCCACAAAATTCCATGTGTGGAAACTTGATTCCCAAATTTATGTGGTGAAGGTAGTTGGAGGTACATTTTTTGCAGGAGTAACTAGGATCAGATGAGGCAGAGGGTGGTCTCCCTGATGGTATTAGAGGCTTTATAAGAAGAGGAAGAGGACTGAGCTGGCACATGCTTGCCCTCACACTAAGATTCCCTCTGGCATGTATGCTGTCATGCAGCAAGAAGTCCCCCACCATATGCAAGCAGAGGCCATGCCAGTCTCCAGAACCATGAGCCAAGTAAAAATTAAGTCTTTGTTTTTCTCTGGCTTCAGACAAAGATATTCACATCAGAAGTGTGCACGTATAGGTATCAGAGACATGTTCTTCAGTTTGTTTTTTTTTGAGTGTTGTGGTACTGAGGTTTGAACTCAAGGTGTTGTGCTCATGAGGCAGGCATTCTACCACTTGAGCCACTCTACCAACACAGGTTCTCAAGTCTTTCCACAAGAAGTTTTGTCTGATAACTCTGCATTGGAAATGAATCCACGTTTTCGATAATAAGAGAAAAGTTATATCATATATTTACAAAATAAAATGCTACGACATACCATGGATGAGTCTCAGAAAATTTCTGAAAAAATCCAAACACTGATATTACATATTTCTACTTGATTCTTAAGAGAAATTCAAACACAGACAACAGAAATATAGGTATTGCTGAGAAGATGAATGGTGGTTAACATGGTGACAAGGAGATGGTGGGGATAGCCAGAGGGAGCTGCAGCCCTGTCAGTGTTTGGCTTCTTCTGTTTTTTCCTGGTGGTCACTACATAGCTGTGTACACTTTGGGGAAAGGTGCTGTGTTCTATGTCTGGGCTTCTGCACATTTTTAGACTTCAGTAAAGCTTAATTAAATAAAAATAACAAACCAAGTGGACCCTTGGACAGTCTCCCTTTGCTTTAGCAGATGAAAACACTTCCATTTCTCTAATACCTTATATTAATAAATTTATTATGTGTTTAGCTGAAGTATAGCTTTTTTTCTGAAAAGAAAGAAAAGTATAGAACTATACAACCAACTGTAATTAGAAATCTACTTTCCTCAAAAAATATCTGAATTACTAGTTTTTAAGTTTCAAAAATATTATGCTTAATTAATACATAAAAGAGTATAATGAAAAGATAAGAGCAAGTCAACTGCTTTCTCATGTAGTAACTCCAATCCCATTTCCCTGTAGACACACAGAGACTACGAAGCACAGAATGACGGTTTTCTTGTTTGTTTTTCTGCTGGGGGTCCTATGATGATGGGTAGGGAACTGGTAGAAAAGTGTGTTTACTTTAAAATACGAAATGTGCTTTAACAAAATCTTCCTAGTTTTCATATGCCATATTATATGAATTGTGCAATTTTCCTTTTCTACCAAACCCTCTGTCTTCTAATTGAAACTGTTTTTTCTGTAGTTAGTGTAAGCTATCATCAACCTGGGATTTCCCTTCACATTTTCCTTGGGTCAAGCCCATGGTTTCCAGTGTGAGTTTTTCCTTTTCCTTGGCTTAGTTCTTTATTCTGCTGGAGGGCTTACTTATGTAACTTGGTATTCAAGAGAGACAGCTGTGATAATCTTAGTGCCTGGATATGTATGCATTATCCCTCTTACTGAAATAATAGTTCATTTGCTCAAACTGTTCAACTGTCCAAAAATAGTTGCCTCATGCCAAGATCAATCTTATCTGGTATGAGTATTTTTTCAAAACTTCTCAATCAGGTCCTAGTGTAAATGTCCCCTTCTCAGAGTGTCCTTCTCTTACAACTTAAATTAATGTCACCCTCTAAATACTCCTATGGTATTGTTTCTGTTACTGCTGTCAGGCATTACCTGGTGTCTATTGACTGTCTCTTCTGGTTGGGATGGAGGTTCCACAGGAGCTAGGATCTCAGTCTCTGTTCACACCATATCCCCAGCCAGGCTTAAAATATACATGGAGTGGATCAACAAACATGTACTCTGTATTCAAAGGGATATAAGGAGAGGGCAAGAATATCTTTTAAAAATAACCCATTTACTACCCACCAGTGGTAAAGGACATGCAAACAAGCCAGGATGGCACACATCCATAGTGATTAGCAAATAAGTCTGTAAAGTCTCAAAAACAACAACAACAAACCCCTGTTGCTTCTGATCTTTGGATTCTGTACCATTATAGTGTATTAAGATTTTGTTTATTTTATAGAAAATGAATTTTGTCTTGACAGGGAGTTTTTAAATTTTCTCTTTATTTTTATTTTGAAATTTTATAAATTCATGTTGAACTTTTCAATTATTGGGTGGAGTACTTCCTAGTTTCTTTCAATCTGATCACTCAGTTGGGCATGGTGGGTCATGCCTGTAATCCAAGCAGCATAGCATTATGTCTAAACTGGTTCATTTGATTTGATCAAAGTCCAAACTCCTATCACTTTTTTTTCTTCCCAGTGGAGATGTACCATATAGGCATGAAGGCCTGCATCTTCCTCTTGTCTATGAAACGGAAGGGTTGATATGAAAATCTTGATGCATTGCCCAAGTTAAAATACTCACCAGTAGTTGTGCATTATCTTGAAGTGTGATAAGCTACTTATTATTATATTGCCCCAAAACAATGTCTGCATGTTTGATGGACCCACATAGGTTGAAATGCTAATGTCCGCATGGAGTGTGGTACATCGGCAGAAACTTGAAGTAGTTCTGTTAATCATGTCTAACATTACAGAATTTTGATTTTTGGATAATAATTCATGATAAGTATTGAAGGACAGTGCAACTATGTCATTTTTCTCCGATGCCATTAGCAAATTTCAAATTGGTGAGAGCAGCGACATTCCTGGTAAAGCAACTCCTGGTGTCTGTCTTTTGTGTGTGAACCAGCACCATCAAGCAGCACTTCAGATTTTGCATACTGCTTTTGGAATCTTTAGTGATTCAGTTTTTTAAACATATGAAAGGTACATCAGAAAAAATTGAAGCTTTGCTATTATTTGCCCAGAAAGAATACCCGTGGTTCTTGAATACACACTCCAAAGCACAGATGGCTCTATGCTTTCTCAAGTCTCATGCATGGCCATGGAGCAATCAGCCTGGAAAATGTTTGCTTTCCTAAATAAATATGCACCTTGCTAAAGCCAAGACCTTTTCAGAAATGAATCAAGTGAATATTCAGTTTTCTCTACTTCTTGGAACATCTGGATTTTTCAAGGAATCTGTCTTGAAACATGAATCTAATAAACCTCAGTAGAAGATTCATTTTCTCCTTTCAGAATACTCATTGTGACTTAGCTTTTTTTTTTGATGACATGCATTTCTTCTTCAGGAAAGGGAGAGATCTTTCTGTGCATACTGCTAAATGTTTTTGACCACATATCTTTGACAGAAGACATTGGTAACAAATAATGATATAATCATTTCAATTCAGCAAGTGCTTCATAGTCAAGTGCCAATGGTTCATATCTAAAATCCTAGCTACTCAGGAGACAGAGATCAGGAGGATCACAGTGTGAGGACAGCCAGGGCAAACAATCTCAAGACCCTATCTTTTAAAATACCTGACACAAAAAAAGTACTGGCAGAGTGGCTCAAGTGGTAGAGCACCTGCCTAGTAAGTGTGGGGCCCTGAGTTCAAACCCAAGTACTGCAAAAAACCCAAGCAAACAAACTAACAAACTTGCTTTGTAGGTTATTGTTGGTAGTAAAGCAATCAGAGTGATTCTACATGTAGACATTAACATATACCTTGCAGATTTGCAAAACGTAACAATGTATGGCATAAACTAAATATTGAAATAATATTAATTTGGCTATCTGATTTACTATTTATACAAAATTTTTTGGAAAATACAATACTGATTTTTCAATATTTTCATACTTACAATCATCTGTGATGATGGGAGTGGTTTGCTTTTCTTGTGATTTGTTTGTTAATGAATTCGGGTCTACTTGGCTAAGAAAGGTAACATCTTTCAATATATAATTATTGATTCAGTTTTCAGCCTTTAAAATATATTTACAGCAAGTTTTCTTTACTGATAGTTTCTTACAAAGACCAATTAGGATTTTGCACTACTTGTTAAAATTATGAAATAAACTTTCAGACTAGCAACAATGAAACAGGTGTAAATGGTCCAAGGAATATGGCCTTCCCAAGGTCCAGCTATAGTGTATATAAACCCTTCGTCCACCCAAAACTCTGTTCAACATTCTTTGGGATAAGGAAATGGTATAGGAACTAGGGCTTGTGGCAGGGTCTGAGAATTATTATGTGACACCCATTTGCACATTGTTAGAGGTAAAATATTCAATGATGCTTGTTAAAGCACAGTAAGACTTTATTCAAGGGACCCATGGTAATGGGTATAAGGAACATCTTAGTGGCCTTGTTGTGGACAAGAGAGACTGGGCTCTACTCCAAATGCGGTATGGGCAGGTAGGAATATATAGTTAAGGAGCAGGGTGACAGGGGTCAGTGGATGTTTACTAAGAGGAAACATCATGGTTAAGGGAGACTCTGACCTAACAGAATTCTTGCTGAATGCAGACTAGGGTGATGAGACATTATTTAGGGGATGGTAAGATGAGGCATTTGATCAGATATCAAGAGAGGAGAGTTCTGGTTAAACTGACTTAGCAGGGTTATTCCT